AGTCTAGAATTTGATATTGTGCCATTTTAGTAACTTAATCTCTATCTCTCAATCTTTCTAGATGAACCATACAATCATATTCGATATCCAAAACGAATATATTTTTGCATTGGCCAATGACTTTACGATCCATCTAGATATGAGAAGTAGAAAGTTCTCTATTAATCTATTATGAGGAACGAATCCTTTCTCGGCTCAACTACTATTCCATGTGCTTCGCGATGCACCCAACACATGTCGTATCTATGCCGATTGGAGGGCAAGCGTTGGTCAGAGTCAAAGTACATCACTCCACACATGAAGTAGGTATTGACCTCAAGTCGGGGGACTATTACACTACTCTATATGCCGATAATTCCGTAGACACATGAATAGAACTCATCAAATGGTTTCTCGGTGGGAATACGAATATTCTCTAAAATATCTATGTGACCATCATGAATTACATGAATTCATAATTGTGAGATCAACTATACTTTCTAAAAGTATATATGTTGCAGTCCACATACCAATCTTATCGCATATCATCAATATCTCTTTCTTAATGATCATTGATTGGGGCTATTTTAGGACTTTATGTTATATATCACATAAAATCTCACTTAGTGACAACATAAGTCCAAGGGAACACAATTATGAATAAACATTAACAATCGAAATTCTTAATCATTAATGTGTAATATCACATATATCAAATATATAAAACTAAATGTGATCAAGTACATATATCTCTACGAAAATGATTGTCGTTATGACATATATACTAACAATTACTTGAATTCTGATTATAGTGGTAACAAAGCTGAAATGAAAGAAACTGTCCGCTCTACTATTTGTTGGAAAAATGCGTTAAAAATTGCATTAAATGGTCATTTTGGGGAAATTATTTGAGTGGGGTCCACTTCCGATTTGGGTCGGGTCAAAGTGGTTTCGGATTGTCCTTGTTAAGGCTACAATTTGATATGTGGTACACTCAAAACGGATAACGGGTGAATGAGAAATTGATTCTCGAAGTTCACTCGTTGAAATGGAAAAACTGGGAAAATGATGGGTTTCTAGTGTGTTTTATCCCACACCGGAAAACTCAATGAATTTTCACCCCCTTACAAAGGGAAGCCTCTTTTAAGGAGTTAAGATTCCTAAAGGTAAAGGCTCTCTCTTACGCGCAGGGGGGGTGCCGTTCTTATCTTTTAATGCTTCGTTAACTGGACAGTTTATGGACGATTCAATGCCCAACGGACTGGTCATTGATGTCCAACATTGAGGTCCATTAACACCTCATTTAACACACTACAATTCCTCTTACAAATAGCTGGCAGGTGCTTTGCAACAACACACAATACATTCCTCACGTTTCTTGAGCTAAAAACACTTCCAGCTACTCTGAAATTTCCTACAAATAGCTGGCAGGTGCTTTGCAACAACACACAATACATTCCTCACGTTTCTTGAGCTAAAAACACTTCCAGCTACTCTGAAATTTCCCTAGTGTTCTGCTATTGTTCCAGTTCGCCGGGACTTTCGTTAGCCACCGTGTCCTGGGAAACGGTCGTTGCAACGCTCCTAGCCCCGTGGGAGGCGACGAATACGTTTTAAGGACATCGTGCTACACGAGCTCTGGCTAAAATCTGCTCCATCTTATTTTCTTTTTTCTTTTAGCTATTTTATTTATTAATTAATTTTATTTAATTAATATTTCTTTGTTTTGCCGAAACACACCCAACACTATTTACCTGAATATGTCTGACTTTGTGCTTAGAAATGTAGAAATAATTTATTTGGCCAAGGAATTACGGGATAAATTGGAAAATCTTTATACTGATACTTCTTTGCCTGGGTAAACTATTTTTTTTGAAAAGTTCTTTCGGTTTAGGCTTGACCTAATCAAAGACATTGATGAAAACATGGATGTGTTTAACAAATTGATTTAGAATATTAAACAATCTGGTAATAAGCACATTGATGCTTATACTCCTATTGTGTTGCTTAATGTTATTCCTGGTTCTTATAATGATGTCAAATATGCTATTAAATATGGTATAAATGAGTTTAGTCTTGATATTGTTGTGAATGGCTTGGGAAGTAAGGAATTTGACCTTAAACATGCTAGGAGTAATACTAATCAACCTGAGGATTCTGATGAGGCTATGTTTGTGAGATGTAGATCTCAAAGTAGGTCAAAACATCATAAGCATGAAGCGCAGGCTAAGAATAGTAACCAAAATTGCAAGAAGAGATATAAGACTAAGAAACATGTTTGCAACAATTGTGGTAACCCTGGGCACTTTATTAAGGACTGCCCTAATCCTAAGAGAGCTGAGCATGCTAGTGTAGCTATTGAGAGAGATGAGCTTGGTGAGGTTCTTATATATTGTGATGTCAATTCTGTGAGATATTTCTTATTTGAGCATGAATGGTTGATTGATTCAGGTTTTACTTATCATAAGACTCCTTTTAAGAACTTATTTTCTAGATATGAGCAATGCGATAGTAGTTATGTTTCCTTAATTGATAATAAGAGATGCAATGTGCTTGGTGTGGGTGATACATGCCTTAAATTTTCTTGTGGCTATGTGTTTACCATCAAGAATGTTAGATATGTTCATGATTTGTGTCATAACTAGTTATGTGTTGCTGCCTTAGAGGGTAGTGGATTAGAGGGATAATGAGGGAATGACTGTACGAAGATTTTAAAAAGTTCTCTTGTGTTGTTTAAGACTGAGAATGTGAATAACCTTTATGTGTGTCATGCTAAACCGGGCTTTATATTAATGAGATTCGGATCCTTTACAATTACCCCCAAGGGGGGGTATTTATACTAGTATTAAATGAGGCAGTGCATTAAATGCACTACACGTGTCGACTATTCTATGGGCAAGAGCCCTGGGGCATGTTAGAACTTGACGCGTGTCATTCTCTGGTTGACCTCAGGCCAGGTGTTCCCTGCTGGGCAAGGTGGTGATGGCTGAGGTGCAGGGGTGCACCCCGGGTTTGGAGTTGTCCTGGTCCCTAGGTGATGTTTGGGATCTGTGGCCGAGGTGACACCACCGAGGCAGTGAGGCCGAGGTGACTTGTACGGACAAAGAGTGTATTTCTTCATTCTGGACCGGGCTTGCTTGATAGACCCCAGTAATGTGGTGGGCTTGGGACGTTGATATCTAAGAGTGTGTGGGTCATGGATCCGAGCCCATATACTCTATCAAATACAAGCCACAAATAATAACACAAACATTAGTCTCCAAAATCATCAACAACTCAAATCCAAATAAGATAATTATCCTAATATTTTGTTTAAGATGCATATGAATAAATACTATAGGTTTTCTAAAAATATTACTACCTCCGTCCCTTAGAACTTTGCCAAAGTTGACCGGCACGGAGAATAATAAAGTAAAAACTGTGTGGTTGAAGTTTATGTAGAGGAGAGAGAAATAACAGAAACCACAAAATAATTGATTAAAAGGGAAAGTGGCAAAGTTTTTTGGGATGTTCCAAAAAGGAAAGATGGCAAAATTTTAAGGGACGGAGGGAGTACTAAATAAAATTTATGGATAAAAATGTGACTAAAATTACTATAAATATATTTTGATGGTCATTTTGGTATATAAAATTGAACATATTTGCAGTCACTAAAAGTTTTAAGTCATTTTTCATCCACCATGATTATTTATAAATTAGATTCATATATTATATTAATCTTAGACCAAAGTTAATCGTTTCGGGTTTTATCGGTCCAGGCCGTATTATAGATTTTAGGGCCCATTTTTTCGGGTTCGATACGGTTTTTAATTCGGACCGAGTCTTTGAATTCGGGCCGGTGACGAGCACTATGTCATAGTGCGTCAAAATAAATTCAATACTAACACTTATACGTAGTATAGTGAAGTAGAGTTCGTATCCATAGGGAAGAGAATAATTCTCTTTTTATGAAGTAGTAAATAAAGGGGGGTTTTGGGGTTGAATGATTTAATTTAATAAGAAACTAAGATGAACAACTTAAATGCGTTTTAATTCAAAGATAAAAGGAACTTGGTTTTGCTACTTTCCACTTGTTGATATATTTAGTCGATCCTTGTTATATCTATAACTTATCCTCTCTCGAATATTCAATCGAGAAGTATATCTAATTCATCGAGGGTAGTTATTAACAATGACCGTTCATTAATAACACTTACTATTAATAAAATATAGAACAACGCCTTATACCGATTTAACAGTAGCATTTAATCTTTCTAACTCCTTGATGAAATCAATTGAGATTGATAACCTCAACACAACGGTTTCGGTTTAACCAACAAAATTAATCCCTCTAAAGTTTATTAACCACGACCGTGCATTAATAAACCGAAGTTACTTACTTGTGAAACCATTAACGATTAACCATCGGTTCGTTGATCGTTTCTAGTAATAATTAATATTGAGATGTTAACTAATTGTCATCTTATGAACACTCCCCAACATTAATATAAAAATAGATTAAGGGAAGAATTAATATTCAAGGAGAAAAGTTAAGAAAATAACTCACAACTTTAATAATCAACAAGCTTCAAGAGCAAAACCAAGAAATGGAAGTTTAGCTCCTCATTTAGAGACTAAACATGCTAGAAAAATATAAAGAAAATACTATTCTAAGTTGAGCTTAAGAGTATGGAAGAAAGGGTGAATAAAAGTGAAGGAAATATGTGTTATTTATAGGTGTTTTCAACACCCCGGGGCGTATACCCGACCGAGTAAATGGACATAACCGACCGGGTATCTGTCAAAATCAAATATTTCCCACGTTCTTGTGTCCTTCAGCACGTTTAATTGTCCGGGTCACTTCATACCCGACCGGGTAAAGTGCCATACCCGACCGGGTATGTTCCCAATTTCCCAGTGTCACGCCCCGGACCTACCCGGACACGTCAACAACCCGCCGTACAGTACGAATAGTCAACCGCAGTCCGACTCATCCATACTATACAAGGCGTCTTGAATACCATTCACACATAGTACATCCATAAACAAACATAATGTAAAACATTTATTAAAACAGCGGAAACAATTGATACAAGTGTTCAAGCCACACTTGGCATAATTAGGCATGCAAGCCCCCAAAATAATTATTCAGAAAATATTATCCATGAGCATTATTCATATTGTTTTTCAAAATGAGAACGGGAGAAGCACGAACCAAGTCTTCTCCTCAGAAACTTCCCGAAGCAGCGGCTGGTGGTAGCAACCTTCAAGTTCTACCTGAAACTGTGAGGTGGCCTCCCCCGTGAAGGGGAGGTCAGTACTTGGAAGCATTTGACAAGTACAATGACAACTATACTAAGTATAATCAAAGTTTAAATCTCTGAGGCCCTCAACTAGGGCATTATTACATTATAGTTAATCCGTTCATTTAATATCAATTTATCATTTTTTATCACGGTCTAGAGTCCAGCTCATAATCACCGTTATCTACTACGGTCTAGAGCCCAACTCATAATCACCGTCATCTACTACGGTCTAGAGCCCAGCTCATAATCACCGTCATCTACTACGGTCTAGAGCTCAGCTCATAATCACCGTCATCTACTACGGTCTAGAGCCCAGCTCATAATCACCGTCATCTACTACGGTCTAGAGCCCAGCTCATAATCACCATCATCTACATCGGTCTTGAGCCCGGCTCATAATCACCGATTCCTTATAATTCAAATTCTTAGGATCTAATTCATCCATTTCTCAACTAACATTTCCAACTAATATTTCAATGCTAGTTATTTATTTATTTCAATATAATTCCTTCTTCTTGCATAATTGGCCTTAATATCAAGTATCACTTTCATACCTTCATGGCTTCTCCTCATGGAATCAAAGTATACTATCCCAAATGATATTCATGGTTGGTACAACCATCATACACACATATTCATAACATCTAAACATACACAATTTATTCATAAATTTGTGTATCATGCATACTATACTTTTAATCAATAGTAATTCTATTTATGCATTATTAACCATCAACAATTCATGCACATCACATTTATATTCACTTAGGAAATCCCATGAAATTAACCCAAAGATTATAAGTATCATAGTCGGTCATCCTCACCTTAATTAAGCTTAAGCGCGTTCTTCGTTTCTTGATTGAACTTTGACCAACTCCGGCGAACTTTGACCAACTCCGGCGAACTTTGACCAACTCCGACGAAACTCCGGCGAGGCTAAAAAATACTTTAAATCAAGTTCCTAACAAGGTTTTATCATCACAAAACCCATATCAACACAAATAACCTATAAAAGGTTATTTTCCGGCAAACCGGTCGATTTGGCTTCTAAGTCCATTTTTGGACTTAGAATCACTTTCCAACCCATTATTCCACACTTAAATCATGTAGAACAATACTAAAGGTCTTTCATATGATATATATCTTATATGCTAGAAGAAAAACAAAGGAAAAGTTATGATAAGGTCATTACCTTAATTTTCACACTTTTTCCTAGCTTTTTCCTTCTTAAACTTTCTTCTTGGACTCCCTTGAGCTTGAGTTCGGATTTGGGGCTATGGAGATGAAGTTGTAGAGGTTCTTTCCTCCTTTCCATTGCTGCTGGCCGAACTAGTGAGGAGGGGGATGGGTAGGAATGCCTCTTTGTCTCCTTTTGGGCAATGAGTGAAAGGGAGGAGGGCCACCATGATTTGTTTTGATGCCAAACATCTCAAATCAGTCCTCTCCCACCTCATATCTCTTACCAGCCTGCTAAGGCCCTGAATAATGAGGCTAAAATCGTGGGTTGGCCCCCACCCATGTGGGAGGTCAACCCTTTTTGTCCAAAAGTGTACAATCGGTCCCGAAAGTTGCATTTTTCCGGACTGTTTTAAGTATATTTTATTTTATCGGGTCAAATAAAATATAACACTTGTTCCCAATTCTTAATGGACCTTAGAATCAATATGTATCCCTCAACTTTAATTTAGATGTCTCCGAAATCCCTTTTCGGGCTGTTATCCGATAGATTGCCGATACTGATAATTTGGCCCCGTTTGACCAACCGGTCAACCCTATGCCATTGTCATGGCTCAACTAGGATATCCAACACCATATACATATTATCTAGTCCAAGATCAATATAATATGTGGCCCCGATAATATCGGGCGGTCCCCACTCCCGATGTGGGCCCCACGTGCATTTTACTATTCATGCGAAAAAATAAATACAAATTCACAACTTCGTAAATTCACTAAATATTTCATAGGGTTCAATAAATTATTAGCTTAAAGATAAATACATTTGGGGACGGTGTTACAAGTTCACCCCCCCCCCCCCCCGAAATCCACGTGTCTAATCGAAAAGGAAAGGGTACTGCTCCCTCATTGAGACCTCAGTCTCCCAGGTTTCTTCTTCGACTCGATCACTCCTCCAAAGGACCTTTACCATAGGAATCTCCTTGTTCCTTAGTTTCTTTACCTGTTGACCCACGATCTTCACCGGTTCCACCGCATATTGTAGGTCTTCACGTATCTCTACCGGTGGTTTCTCAAGGATATGAGACGGATCTCGCACATATTTCTTGAGCATCGATACATGAAACACGTCGTGTATCTTCTCAAGTTCTGGCGTCAATTTGATACGGTAAGCCACGGCCCCTATCCTTTCAAGGATTTCAAATGGGCCAATGTATCGGGGGTTAAGTTTTCCCCTCGATATAAACCTGATAATACCTTTCCAAGGAGAAATCCTTAGAAATACCTGATCACCGACCTCGAACTCCAATGGCCTGCGTCGTTTGTCAGCATAACTCTTTTGCCGATCTTGGGCAGCCTTAAGTCTATCCTGAATGACTTTCACCTTAGCCTTGGTGATTTCAACAAGTTCAATCCCCTCGAGCTTGGCTTCGCCAACCTCGTCCCAACACAACGATGTTCTACATTTCCTCCCATACAATGCCTCGTATGGAGGCATGCCAATACTCGCCTGATAACTGTTGTTATAGGCAATCTCAACCAGAGCCAAATGCTTGTCCCAACTCCCTTGGAATTCCAGAGCACATGCCCTAAGCATATCTTCCAGAATCTGTATCACCCTCTCGGATTGCCCATCCGTCTGTGGGTGAAAGGCTGTGCTAAACTTTAGCTTCATACCCAAAGATGCTTGAAATTTTGGCCAAAATCGGGATGTGAAACGTGGGTCCCTATCCGAGACAATGGATATCGGAACTCCATGCAGTCTCACAATCTCCTCCGTGTATAGCTTTGCCAATCTTTCAAGAGGATAAGTAATGTTGATAGGCAAAAAGTGTGCACTCTTGGTGAGCCTATCAACCGCTACCCATACTGCGTCATAGTTGTTCACTGTTCGTGGTAGCCCCACCACGAAGTCCATGGTCACGTGCTCCCACTTCCATTCTGGAATGGTAAGTGGTTGTAAAAGTCCTGCCGGGTGCTGATGTTCCGCCTTGACTTGTTGGCAAATAAGGCACCGACTCACGTACTCTGCGATGTCCCTCTTCATACCCGACCACCAGTAACTTTCCTTCAAGTCTCGGTACATTTTAGTACCTCCTGGATGCATGGCATACGCCGAAGAATGAGCCTCCTCCAGTATAGACCTTTGGAGTTCCTCGTTCCTTGGTATGCATACACGGCCTTTAAACAATAAAAGACCGTCATCACGTACCCGAAAGTTCTCAACAGGTCCCTCAAGGATCTGTTCACGGATCTTCTGACATTCTTCATCAATAGCCTGACATCTACTGATCTCACTCAGCAATCACCCGACCGGTTTGCATTAGAACACATCCAAGCCCTTGGATGCTAGCGTCACTGTATATGTCGTACCCTATCCCTTGTGTGGGTAGAGTGAGGACTGGTGCTTCTGTAAGCCGTTTCTCTAGTTCGAGAAAACCTTTCTCACAATTTTCGTCCCATAAGAACTTGGCCCCTTTCTTTGTGAGCTTTGTCAATGGAGACGCCAATACAAAAATTTTTTCAACAAACTTACGATAATATCCTGCCAAACCGAGGAAACTACATATTTCTTTCACGTTCTTGGGTCTCTCCCTATTCATAATGGCTTCTATCTAGGCTTTATCCACCGCAATGCCCGAACCTGACACGACATGCCCGAGGAACCCGATCTCTTTGAGCCAAAACTCGCATTTAGAGAATTTGGCAAAGAGTTGTTTTTCCCTTAGCCGTTCAAGTACAAGTCTCAAATGATCTTCATGCTCCCCCTCACTCTTGGAGTATATCAAAATATCGTCAATGAATACTATCACGAATTGATCTAAGTATTCACTGAACACACGGTTCATCATGTCCATGAATGCCGCCGGGGCGTTGGTTAGCCCGAACGACATGACTAGGAACTCGAAATGACCATACCTTGTGCGGAATGCACTCTTCGGTATGTCATCTTCCTTTATTTTCAGTTGGTGGTACCCCGACCTCAAGTCGATCTTCGAAAACACCGTCGCCCCTCGGAGCTGATCAAACAAGTCATCAATTCTAGGCAAGGGATACCTATTCTTGATTGTGACCTTGTTCAGTTGACGATAGTCAATGCACATACGAAGTGTTCCATCTTTCTTCTTCACGAAAAGGACCGGTGCTCCCCATGGAGAGTGACTCGGCCTTATGAAACCGTTATCCAATAGCTCTTGCAATTGGGTTTTCAACTCGTTAAGTTCAGCGGGTGCCATTCTGTATGGCGGTATAGAGATTGGTTTGGTGCCGGGTTCGACCTCGATCACGAACTCAATCTCCCTATCGGGTGGAAGTCCCGGCAAGTCTTTTGGGAAGACATCCGGATACTTGCACACAACTCTCACATCATTGATGTCTATCTCTTCTTTGGTTTTGTCCACCACATACGCTAGGTATGCGTGACACCCCTTTCTCATCATATTCCTTGCTCTCACGGCGGATATGATACAACAGTTTGATTTGCCTCTATCTCCCTTGAAGCGTAAGGTCAACCCTTCGCCGCCTTCGAGTTCAAGAACCTTCGTGTAGCAATCGACCCTAGCATGATGTTTCTCAAGCCAATCCATCCCGAGGATTGCATCAAACTCGATCATACTCAGCGGTACGAAATCACACGTCAAGTTCTGTCTCTCCACCTCCACCTCACACGATGGATAGTGGCTTTCTCTCTCGATATCATCCCCTAGAGGCGTGGACACCAATAGGGTTTGAGTCATCGGTACAAGTGGTCCGTTGAATCCGCTGGCGAACGCCTCACTCACAAATGATCGTTGCGCCCCGGTATCAATAAGGATCCTTGCTTCTCTCCCGTTTATCTTTAGTGTTCCTACATTCATAAGTAATGTAAGACACACCATCTAATAAATAGGTTCGTTTCTTAAGTCGTAGAGTATGTTGGTGGTGTTTCGGGTGGGGTCCGTTCGATACCCTCCCGAAATTTCCCGGTTTCTAACCTTTAGGACCGTTTTTGGATCAATCCGGGTGAAAGCCGGCCCCTTTTCACGAAAGCCGGCCGGTTTTCGACTGCGAGAAAAATTCCAAGTTTTTAATCACGAAAGCCGGGCGGCTTTTACGGAAGCCGGGCGGTTTTCGTCGCCGTGGTTTTTATTCAGGGAATGGTTTCGAAGCCGGCCGGTTTATACGAAACCCGGCCGGGTTTCAGCACCGCAGGAATTTCTAGGCCCGACGAAAGCCGGGCGGCTTTCGTCAAACCCGGGCGGCTTTCAGTTGCGAGAAAATTCCCAGGTCAGGCCTTTATGAAAGCCGGCCGGTCTTTACAAAAGCCGGCCGGTTTTTGGTTGCGAGAATTTTGCTGATTAAATGATGACGAAAGCCGGGCGGCTTTTGGTGGAAACCGGCCGGCATTCGTCGCCGCAGCATTTTCTCAATATTTCAAGACGAAAGCCGGGCGGCTTTCGTCAAATGCCGGGCGGCATTCGCCCAGGGCGGGGGTTTTTCCTCCCCTTTTCCCCACAATCCCGACCAAACCGTCGGGGTTACAAATTTTGCACCTTACAAACACTCCTATTGCATACAATGGAATAATATCGTGAGTTTAAGATCTTACCCGCCACGGAGTCCGGGTTAGCACGTGCGTCCGCCTCCGTCATCGCATAAACTCTAGTTTCAGTTCTTCCTTGATTTACGGACGGCGCATTACTCGTGCTTGCTCCCCCTGGCCCACACTGGCATGAGGTGCTCCGGCCCGGTTCCTACTAGCCGTGGTAGCGCCGCTTGGTCCTGACCCCCGGTTCCCACCAAGTTGAGGGCAGTTTGGCTTAATATGCCCTGTACTCCCGCATCGGTAGCACCGTGGTGGATCACGACACCTACCGGTGTGGTTCCTGTTGCAATTCCTGCACCTGGGCGTCATTGGGGCTTGTGAGCCCGAGTAGTGCCCGCTCGTGGCCGGGTTTCCCTTGGATGGTGCTGCCGGTGCCCTGAACGATCCACCTCCCCCGTGGTTCCCCTTCTTATTGGGACCTTGGGGGCCATGGCTTTCCCACTTCCTTTTCTTGGCCTCTTCGGCATCTCTCTTCTTCCTCTCCTCCCATTGCTTTTCTCCCTTCAACCCTTGGGCAACCACTTGGCTGAAAGTCATATTGGGCAATTGAGTTGCCCTGTCACGTATCTCCAAGTCCAAGGTCTCCCAAAAATGATTCACCATTCGGTTTTCATCACA